TCTACGTAAATAATAATAAATAATTTTTATTTAAAAACTTCTAAATATTCGTACTGGTCAAAATAATCTTTCTGGTGTTGTTGAAATATTAGAAACAATAATTGAAATACAAAATTACTCTGCTTATGATGCCAACTTAGAAATCTGAAATTCCAGCCAATATCATTTTGAATAACATGAAGTTTGTCCCATATTCATTTCGATACCCAAAAGAAAATGAGTTGCAACAAAAATGAGTCCAAGTTTTTTCTGTGTATACTTCTTCGTGATTGAAAGTAATTTTACATTTTTCACAGCGTAATAAAATTGTAATTGTTTAATTAATTAATTAATTAAATTGTAATTGTTTAATTAATTAATTGTAAAATTGTAATTGTTTAATTAATTAATTAAATTAATTAGTTAATTAATTAATTAAACAATTACAATTTTATTACGCTGTGAAAAATGTAAAATTACTTTCAATGTTTTAAAACTGCATATAGGTTATGTACACATAACCCACAATTTTTTTATTTTCAAAATAATATTATTTATTTTTTTAAAATTACTTACCTCACTTAATTAAATGCAACCAGCAATGGCAGCAATTATATTTAATTTATTTAATTTATAATTAAAAATTGAATCCAGTATTTTCAACTGCGCCTCAGCGACAGTTGGCAATACGTTGCGCGCGCATCCAAGTTCAATAAATTTGCACTTGTACTTGGACTTGGTCTTGCATCTATTGTAGAACCTCCTAAAGTGGACCAAATTTTAGTAACCGCTTAGTATCATGAAAATACGTAATGGAACACTAGCGCCACTGATTGTGTTAAACTCAGCTGGACAATCAGCCATTGCAAAAGTTTTAAAAATAAGAAGCAATGTATTTTTGGGTTATGTTCAACGTAGTTCTAATTTTTCCCACTGTTTACATACTTCCCACGAGAGCGCTTGCGTCCCATTACGTATTTTCATGACACTAAACGGTTACCAAAATTTGGTCTACTTTCAACGTACGTCGTTCAGTCTCCTTATACTACTCTATGGTTTTATCGCAAATACATAATTTATATTAAATTAGTTTATCAGTTTTATTAAATAAGAAAATTTGTGTATAAAGGGGGGCCGGTATGGTTAATTCGGTGTAAAAAAGGCACTTTTTTATTCATTTTTTCGGTGATATAAAGTGTGTTACTTTATTTTATTAACTTAATTTCCACATATTAATACAATATTTGAAGTATATTTTCCTAAATTCTCATTGAAAAATATTTCAAATTGAACAAGTAGCAGTAAATCGTTTCAGGCGCTTTGTAAAAAAATGGATTTGAGGTGTTCAACGTAACTTGCAACAAAATCATCTAAATAAAAAAACAAAAAATTTTTTTGTTAAAGGAGATGTTTTTCTAGGTAACTACGAGAGGTTTTTTTTTATTTTTCGTAGCACTCGAAACCCAAAAACTCGATTTTCGCTGAAAATCGATCTATTTTTTACTGTATAATTAATAATTATTAATAAAAAGCTCTCGCAGTTACCTGGGGAACTTAGTCAAGAAGAACTGTGCCAAATTTCAGAACGATTGGTTCAGTAGATTTTGAGATTATTTACCAAGGGACGTTAACAACTAAATTAAAAATTATTATTAATAATTTTATTATTTTAACTTTTTCTTTTGCATTTAGTAAGTAAATAAATTATTATTAGTTATTTTTCTATATTATTATTTTTGGAATGTTTATTGAAAATATATTTTCTGTATTATCGATTTGTAAATGATTTCCTAATCGATAACAAGAAAGATATTAAATGATAAAAAATAATTGTAATTTTACAAGTCTGAATGACTTATGTATCTAAGTGTAAGAATTTTACTCAAAGTTCGCAATTTATTTTCTTTCTATTTTCATTGGGGCGAAATTTTATAAGAGGGAAAATTGCGATAATTAATTTATGTTATATTAGTTAATATGTTTACAAGAACCAGGATATATTTTATTCTGATACCAAGTTGACATTTGATGTGATCTTTGTTATCAAAAAAAAATCTGTCGATATAAGTGAATATTTGGTACGAAAGACAATAAAATTTTGAGCTCATTTGTTTCGTTGAATAAAAAAATGTCCTCTTCATTTGCAATTAGCATATATGTCTCAAGTGGAAACACATTTTACATTTTATCTATAATTCAAGACTATAATAATGACAGCTAATGAGGCAGAAAAAAAGACACCAGAAAACAAACTTAGATAACATTAAAATGTTTCCAACAACTGTATAATAGAGCCATTTGAATGACAACAAGCTGTTTTCAAATAAATTATTAAACAGATAAAGTACACTCAATTTTTTTAAAAAAAACTTCATTTCTAAAACTGTCAATTTATTTTTTTCTCTATTGTAATACAAACTTTATATATGTATAGAAAATATATATCCTTTTCAAATCAAAATTTATCGATACAGATATATGTATACACTTATATTTGAATGGAATGTTTTTCGAGATTTTTGTCAGCATTCGAAATCCTATAATTAGCAAATTGGACACAAGTGTGCAAAGTTGACAGAAACAGTCTCAACACAAAACAGAAAGCAAGTTTTACCGGTTTTAAAATAATTATTGGACATATAAAAGAGTCGAAATGAAAACCTTTTTTTCTTAATCAGAAGCTCAATTAACGTTCTCATGGTACTCTTTCGTGTATTATTTATAAATTATTTTTTAGCATCATATTTTATTCTCATTAGTAGAATTATTTTTCAATTATAGATAAAATCTTTATATAATATAATATAATGATAAAGTATTTATTTATCTTTAAAATTAATAATCAAAAGATTATTTGTTTTCTTGACAATATTTTATTTTTTTAATTTATTGATAAAATTTGTTTAACCAAAATAAAACATTTATATAATTTTTTAATTTTTATTTAACAATTACATAATTATTTCAATTAAAAGAAAATTCTCTCAGTCGAAATTTAAGGCCTACTTTCCAAGGAGTAAAGCTCCAATTATGGTGGGCAAAGTATCATCTTTTGGTTTATTATGATTATTTTTTTTTATAATATTTTTATTCAATTTTTAATTAATATATCTGCACATTTATTAATGTAGAAAGCCATTTAGGTAAACATAACGTAAGTTTTGACAACTTTAAATTAATAATTTTTTCTTTAAATGTGAAAATGTGAAATTTTGATTATTATAATATTTTTCAATTCAAAGTTCGGTTATATTAAGTTTATTCTTAAGTAATGTAGATATTTTATGAACTTTAGAATCTTGGATACTTTAATTAATATTATTTAACATTTTAATGTTTTATTTTATTATTTTAATATTTAATTTTATTTAATATTTTAATAATATTTATATTTTAATTTATCTTGTATTTTTTAATATTTTAATTAATTGAAAAATGTATGTGGGAGAGCAAAAAAAAAACGCATTTATTTATTGAAATTTTTTTTTCAATAATGATCCTGCAATTCATTTACAAAAATGGCAAAAACTTTTTGTACAACTTAATAAACTTTTAAATTATGTGTCTTTTATTTTTGCGTGAATTTCTGTCTAACTTAATTTCAATGTCGTTTCAAGTTCGTGTAAGTTTTCATACATAATTAGGTAATTACATTTTTTTTTAAATACAACTACCTATATTTGTATTACAAGGTTTCTTTTTAAACGATATGTACGTTTGTTGGCTAAACATGTGTTAATATGATAGCCTTCAGAAAATAAAAGTACCACACTTTCATTTCAAAGAAAAAGTAAAAGAAATGTTAAACAAATATCAGATTGTGCCAATGAACTCATCACTTCTTGAACACGTAAAAAAAATTTTTTTTTAAAGAGAGAAGAAAAAGTAAAAAAAATATTTAGAAAACAATTATGTCAATTGGTTTGTCAGATGCACCTTTTAAAACAATAAATAAAATTCAATAAATAATACAGAAGATACTGTAAAACTCTGTTAAATTTAACAATTATTAGCAAAAAAAAAAACAAAATTATTAGTAACAAAACAACAAAATAAAATTATTATAAAATGAAAAGTAAGAAAATAAATATACATCAAATGAAAAATTAAACAATGTTAAACATGACCTAAATTAAAAAAACTGGAAATATAATTATTGAAAGTTTGAAATAATCATTACCTTGACAATAAATGAATACATTAATATTAATTAAACAAATGCAAGAAATTGAGAAAATTTATCTCTTAAAATAATAAATCTACATTTATGTAAATTATATTCAAAAAATTCAAAATATTCTGTAAAATAAATATATTTTCATTTACATTCCAATACACTGAAGTTTATTAAAACTAAAAATTAAAGGATTTTTATTTAACGCAGTGTTTACTTTAGAAAAATTAAAAAAAAAAACGTTCAATATCATCTCTTTTTCATTTAAACATTCTTATCTCAATCGGAAAGAAATTTTTGTTCCAAAAATAGAGAAACATATACACTTTCATGATTTTATTTTTCTGCTCATTTTTTCGAATGAAGGTCATAATTAATCTCACAAGTTTTTTCTCATATTATAATGAAATTGAAGGACTTGAATGATCATAATTCTACAGAGGCGAAAGGAAATGACTGTTGTAGTTGTATAAAAATCGCAAATTTCTTTCCAAATATTAAGAAAAATAAATTATTAAATTTTTTTTTAAATACACACACACATATATATATATATATAAAGAACTAAATTTCAAAAATATTAAAAACAAAAATTCACTAATGAAAAAAACAGTAAAACCTAGGTATATCAAAAATATATTCGAAAAATTTTTTATAATAAACAAAAAATTGTTTTTCAAATAGTAAAAAAATTCTTAATTTACATAAAAGTGGGAAAAAAAACTTGTGATATTTTCTAATTGATCCGCAAAAAACAATAAAAGTATAAGTATGATATGTGTGTGTGTGTGTGTGTGTTGAGTCAATGAAAGTGGAACACAGTTTATATGTCTTCTGTTTTCTTTAGGATTTCAGAATGCGTCAAGCTACAACGGAGCAGCTTTGGAATTTGGACAATGCTTCATTAAAAGGCATAGAGTATTCACTAAATAGGTAATATTTTCATTAATTATGAAAAATTCGACAAGAAATTTATATAGACATGGAGCATTCTAGCTCAAATGTATGTATGAATAATACCTAAAATTAATTTATTAAAATTTTTTTTGAAAGAATTTTATTAGATAGAATTTTTATTTGTCCAAATTATATTTTGACTGAATTTCCATTAAACATATTTTCTTTATTACACAATTTTTATATAACTAAACATTTACTTTATAATATATTAAATAAAAATGAATTTTCGGTTATATAAAAATTTTGTAATATAGAAAATCAGTTTAATGGAAATTCTGTCAAACAATAATTGGAACAAACATGAATTCGACTAAAAGAAAATTCTATCAAATAAAAATTCTGAAAAATTAATTTTAGGCATTATTTATTTATTTATTGAAAATATACGGGCAATGCCCATTCGTATAGAGTACTATAAAGATACATTATATATATTGTATATTAATACAATATATATATTAATATTTTATTGAAAAAAATCTCAGCATTTCATTGAAAATAAAAAACCTGTTTAGATTAAAACTGAAAAATAAGAATTAATTTTGCAAAAAGGGATTAAGGGGACATTATGATAAATAATAAGTCGAATAAAAGAAGGTTTTTTAAAACTTCTGTCTCTCAAAACCTGTATATATTTTTTAATTTAAAGGTAATAATTTAAATTTTCTAAAAAAATGGTCGTTTTTTCCTTTTTACACTTAAAAAGGTCCCAAATTTTCAGAAAAATCGCGTTTATGATATTTCTCTGAAATTTTTGTTTGTCCTTCAAAAGTATATGCGGAAAAATACTTTAAAATTCAACACTTAAAAGTGAAAATTAATTAATATTTTCATAGATATACGTACTTGAAAATGATAGACTTAAAATGTAAAACTTTAAATTTCCACTATTTTCTACATATTTTCTTTAAATGAGTTTTTACCTAAGTTTCAAGCCAATATGCAATGAATTTTAATTTTTCACTGGTACTTTTGAGAAAAATGCTCCCAGATTTATTCAAATTCAATAGTTTTAAAATAAATTAATTTTTTTTTAATTTTTTACTAACAAGAATCTGTTCTGTACTTTCAATTCAATTAAAATCGCGTTTAACTCTAAAATTTTATGTTTTTCTCTAATTTTCACATTTTCGAATTATAATTAACAGCTAATAAATATAATGTTTTTTGTATCAAATAATGTACGTCATTTTCTTGAAAATACAAATTAGAAGAGGGAAAACATAAAAGTAAACGATAAATATTACAAAAGTGATTCAATTACAATAATAAAGGTGACTGATAAAACTTGCTTATCATTTTGTATGGCTGCTAAACGGCTTTACTTAATTTCGATTCACTTTTTGCCAAATAAAGAGTAAAATTTTGAAAATAAAAGAAGACAATTTTACATTTTCCAATTATGAAATTAGCCTGTTTTGTTTTCATACACAATATATCAAAAGCCTAAAAAATTTTCTTTGATATTTGCAATTTATTGAATTTTCAAATGTTATTTTAGTTATTTTATGATTGTAATTGAGTTTTCAGTTTAAATTTGAATTTAAATATAATTTGCAATCGTCATCGTTCTTATCAATTATCATACTCTTATCGTTTTATGTCACTTTATACAATTTAAGACTTCGTTCACCTTGGTTTATATTTAAATTTTTAACTTTTTATGTTGTTTAAAAATTGTAAACTTAAAAAAATTCAACATGTTTAAAGCTATAAAATAATTTATGTTTAAAAAGTTCAATTCGTAGTATTTAATTTTTATGTTAAAGTGAGTCCAATTGTAAGAAATTTTAAATATTGCGTTTAGACGAATAAAATTCCAATATTTAAGTAAAAACTTTTTAAATTTTACCTTAAATCTTTAAATTTAAATTCAAAGTTTCAATATGTCAAAATTTGAAACATTCTGTAATGTATTGTAATATTTATGTAGAATATAAATTTTGAAATTCACTTAAAGTTTGACATTAAAAAATCGAATTTTCTATGAAGAATACTTTAAATGTTTAAAAATAAATAATCAATTTATTTTTAGCGCATCTCATGAGACTCAGTTTAAAAAAACCATGGCGAAAGTGAAATTCCCATACGACAAGATTTCTGAATCATATTCAGAAGCTGAGAATACCAAAGCAAAGACGAATTCTCAAAAACCAAAAATTATTCTGTGCAAAAATAATTCTATCGATTCTGATACGTCGACTAATGATTCCACCAGTGATGACACATTGGAATCATCTCATTATTGTCCACCAAATTATTCGAATAGTTTTGGTGACATAATTGAGCAAATAAAAAAGTTGAGATTCATTCGATCTTGCAGTAAAGTTGAAAAAAAATTGCCAAATTCGAGGAAGAAATCGAGTTCAACAGAGTCAATGGATAATAATTCGAAACACTCTGAACTAACAAATGATGATGACGATGATGCTCTCAACTCGAATTATTGTAAACAATATTATCAAGTGAACATATACAATGATGATAATAAAAAAGATAAAGACGATGAGGAGAGTTTGAATACGACTGATCTGGATAATCAATCAGATGACGATGGTGACGACGATGGGAACCTCATTGAACGAGGACCTGTCAGGCCTCAACTGAACGCGATTCGAAGTAAGCCTTACGATACTTTGGACTGGCTACTTCAATCTGATAACTATTCACCTCTTGAATGTTCCGATAGACATCGAACTGAAACCTCTGATTATGAAACCAGCATTCAACAATTGCTAACTGATACTGATTATCGAGAAAGAATTGATTCCTGTCTGGACCAATTGTCAGATTCCAGTCAAAAATCTCCTGTATTCAATGGAAATTTGGATTCAATTTCTCGACAAAAATTTTCCAATTCCCAACAATCAATGGTGAGATTTTTTTATTTTACAATAACGATAAATTTCCATTCTTTCACTAATGCTAAACTTATAAAATTTATTCAAATTCTTAAATTATTATTCAAATACTTTAATTAATTTCGTCATAGACATATTCATCATCGAAAACTCCTCCCGCGATTTTCGTAAATAATCCAGAAGGGACATCACTCCTGGACATTTTGGCTCGTGGTGGATTTCAAGCAGCTCAAGTTTTCTCAGATGGCGGAACTACAAATGGTTCATCTCCTGGAATAAATTCTGAAGTTTGGCCAGATTCTCCTGCCAGTAGTTACAATGTTATTTCATCTAGACCAAATAGCCGTGCTTCGAGCAGAGCCCAATCACCAGGATCTGCTATGATGCCCATCAACATTGCAAGCAGTCCTGCTGGTTCACCTCAGGTATAATTTTCATTTTCTTTAAAAATTCTTGGAAACTTATTTTTATAACCCTATAAATCACTTACTTATTTCAAATTTTAAACAAAAATAACAAAAATTAAAGAAAGTTACAGCTTTCACCATTTGGATAAATTTAATCTTCCGAGAGGTTAAAGGCAGTAAACATATTCTGCACATCATAGTAATACGTGATTTGAATCCATAGTTGTTAACTGCAATAGAAATGTTCAAATCTAAATTTAATTTCAATTTGCCAGATGAAATTTACAAATTTTGTTTCAGAGTTTCTAATTTAATGGATAATAATTATTTGTTTAGATAAATGAAAAATATAATAAAGTAATATAATTAATTAATTATTTGAATTAAATTTAAATTAACTTTTTACTTTTATATTCTAAGTTACAAACTTAAATTAAAAATCTTTGTTCAAAGTCTGAATATTTTATTGTCAAGGTTCTAATAATTTGCTAATAAAAATTCACTTTTACAAAAAAAATGTCAAGTTTTCGAAAATAGTGAAATAAATAGAAATTTTTATCATTTAAAACATATAATTAAAACAAGTCGACATGAACATTTTTTTTATCAAGCAAAAGTTGTGTAACATGTAAAGGTAAACTGATATATGAATAAAGATCCGGGGAATCACAATCGCTTAATTATACTATATTATTATATGTACATTTAAAAGGAAAACCCCTTAGTTTTTTTCAAGGAAGGCTTATGAAAGTGAAAAACTAAGTTTAATTCTAAAAAAAATTTTTCCATTTAAAACATTTGGCACCTGGCAAAATGAAACGAAAGTCTAAAATATCCTCGAAGCATATTTTTTTAGCTGAAGAAATAATAAATATAATGCTTCTGTTTGTTTTTAAACGGTTTGTGGACTTTCTCAATGTTTTCCTTATTTGTATTTATTTTCGCTTTCTTGTCATATTCTTTACTTTTTGTGGTAGTTTTAAAAGTAAGCTAATACTTCAATATCTCGTGTAAAACAAATTTTCAAATAACTGTAATTAAAACATTGTTATTTATTTATAAATAAAACTTTGTACTGTTTAGCAAGATTGAATCATAATTTGAATTGAGCTGAAGTTAAAATTTTTATTTAAATTTTACAATTCACAATAAGTTTCCTACTCTAATGTTAGATATGTTGATAAAAACATTTTCTGATTTCAGATTTCGTTAAATTTTCGATCTCCTCAGGGATTTTCTTCCTCGTCTTCCTCTAATCAATCCTATTGTGAAACGCCAAGTCCAGCGAATTATCAATCACCTTTGGATAGTCGATCCGAGGATCAACTTGACGAGAGATTCAACAGATTTGTATCGTGGCAGGAGAGCAATGAATCTTCTGGAACTATTGTCAATACCGCTGAATTAATTGACGCGATAGACAGCAATGAACTTCAATTAGTTGAGGAAGTTGTTCTAAAAGAATTGAGTAGAAAGGGAAGTAATTTGGAAGAAATGCAAGTCGTCCCCAATTCACAACTTGCCTTTAGAAAGTTCGAGTCTCTCCAAAGTCCACGAGATAAAGATTCTCGATCTTCTTTGGATTCTGATCACGGAGCAGCAAGTGAAACGAGAAATGAGAATTGTCGAACCAACATGAACTTCTTCAGTGACTCCTTAAACTTTGGAAGCACTGGCAGCATTATCAATGAAGCTCAACAAAGTTTGGTGTATCCAAAAAGTGGTGATGGTTTTGATTTGGTTTATTCGGAGAATCAAGCGTCTGTTGATTGTTATCGAGGAAAAATTTCACCTGCCAACAATTATATTGAAAATTCATCACCTGTCAATAGTTACATTGACAAATCTTCTCCAGTGAGTTTGGAAATTGATGCAACAATTGAAAACATTATTGCCAATTATTCAAAACCAAACAATGGAGAAAGCACAAATGTCAGTATGAATTTTGATATGAATTTATTTGAATGTGCCAAAAGTACTTGTCCAACGTACAATGTTCCTACAACCGTCCAAAATCATCAACAAAATCCCATTTCGCAGCCACCCACCACATCTACCTTCAATGAGTTCCAAGTGCCCGAGGTTGTAAGAAGGTGTGATACTTTTCAATTACATTCTTTTAATTTTATATGCTTAGCGATTTCTTAACAATACTTATTATTGTTTATAATACTTCAAGTTGTTATTTATTATAATTACCTCACAAACAAATTTTAATTTTTTTCAAAATTTTATTTCATTTTGAGTATCTTAAGAAACTTTATCCCTTTAAACAATAACAAATTCTTTAATATAGAATATCAGTTTAATGGAAATTATGTAAAAAAATAATTCAAACAAATTAATTTTAGACATTATTTATGCATCTCGCTTTTTCTCTTACAATAGCTATGTAAATTTGGAATAAAATGAAAATTAAGATATATTAATATTAATAAATTGATTGTAGACATTCGAGACGTCATGTGGCGCCATGGTCTTCTCTAAATCTTCCCACAACAAGGGCATGTGATAAATTAATTGAAGAATTAAACCCCAAGGATGTCGAAAGGGCTATGGCTAGTCTGTTAAAGAAAACATCGGAAGAATTGGCGAAACCTGACAAAGACGGCGATACGTGAGTTTCATTTTATTAGTTCTCTCATAAACACACCAAATATCTCAAAAAAAATTATATTTAATCACTACACGGAGAGAAAAATCTAGCTTTTATATCATGATATATAAGGCATACGTTTAAAGCATGAATTTTTTCCATGTTATTATAGTAGATAAATTCTAGTAATATTAGTCAGTATTCATACGTTATTAGTATGATTGTTGTCCATGCTTAAAAGGTTTGAAAAATATGCTTTCGTAGTATGTATTTAATACTTTAACTGCACAAGCGCCACGCGCAAATCGTATGAAACTCAAACCTACTACTCCTGCAACTGTCGATTAAACCCTGCCAACTTTAACTTGACTCAAGCATGTTGATCGCCAGTTGCAGGACTCTAATACCGAAAAAGCATGAGACTCCTGCAATAGTAGTAGGTTTTGGTTTTATACAATTTACGCGTGGCACTTATGCATTTAAGGTTTTAAATGCATACTACGAAGGCGTGTTTCTCAAACATACTAAGAACGTATGTATGAATTCTTGCTTTCTTTGTAGGAAAAATTCATACTTTAATAGTAGGAGTCATTTTTATGCTATTAAACCTAGATTTTTCTTTTCGTGTATAAAAGATATAAACAAGTTGTAAATTCAGATGTTCATTACATGAACATTTTGCTTCCTCTTTACAATCAGCAAAAAAATTTGCTTCCTCGTGGAGAAAGCAAAATTTTATTGACAAAATGTGAATTTTTGATTTTTAACTTTCATTAATTCTTTAAATTTACCTAAAATGAAAACTTTATATATATATATATATATATATATATATATATATATATATATTGATGGATTCGTCTTGACGTAAAGAATACGATTTTATTATATATAACCTTAAATTTTTCTATTTAAAAATTTTTTCGAATAAAAAAAAATTTTTGGAAAAAAGACCATAAAATTTTTTTTTGGAGTATTTTTCAAAATCCTTTGGTCAGATTTGAGATATTAATATGATAAATGAGCCTACTAAATTTTATCTAAATCCATTAAAACCTGTTAAAGTTATCTTCTAAACAAAAAAGGGATCCACACACACATACATACATCCGGACAATTGATCAGAATCTCATATAACATGTTTCTATAAAGAAAAAAATTTGTTTCCACCACTTTGAAAAGTTTTTTAAACGAAAGGAATACAAAGCTTCCTCCACGAGGAAGCAAAATAATAAAATCTTATTTAAAAGCTCATTAGCTTACTTAAAAGTTAAAAGAATAGATTTGAATTGAAGATTATAAATAATGTGAAATAAGATTATTATATTATTATATAACACATATTACAAAATTAAATGCAAGTTTTGATAAAAAGCTGTAAATTAAAATCGAATAAAAGTTTTCAAAAAAGACTTATAAATAAAACATCATAATAATCCGGAGGAAAATTTATGTAAAGTCTAAGTAAGATCGGGGCTGGTAGTAGTTCGCCAGCTTATTTTGTTTAGTGTTCTCCTTTTTTTTACCAACCCCACATAACCTTGGCATGTGGAAGCCAAGGTATCAGTATACAGATTTCCCAAAAGTCCCTAAGCAAAAAAAAAAAAAAACTCTTTAAGAAAAATGTATAAAATGTATAAAATGTAAAATTTGTACCTATTTTTTAAAGTTTAAAGCTATGAACTTTAATTTAATTTTTTTTAATTTAAAGTTAAAAGTTTTTACCGTCAAATATAAAAAGTTATTTTTATAAGTTTTTTAACTTTGGAATTTAAAGAAAATTTTCAACATTCATATGTTTTTACTTTCACTAAATTAAAATCTATTATCAATAGAATTTGAATTTATTATATAAAAATACACATTTATCGAAATTATAATAATTTTTTTAAAAAACTCCTGTAAATTGTTTGAATAAAACTAAATTATTATAAAAAAATTAAAATTTGTTGTAAACGAGAAATTAATTTTGGATTTAATATTTATTTAAAAGTTCCTAACATTTATGAATAAGTCATAAAATTTTGTAAATAAATTTTTGTTTCTTTTTTATTTCTGCTTAGGATGCTGATGTGCCTAGCAGGTAATCCAGATGAATTAATGAAAAAAAAAGCTTATTTGCTACCTTTAGTGGAAAGACTAAGTACCATACATAGCGCATTGTCTGTTATGAACAATCGTGGAGAGGATGCTTTATACTTGATGGCAATAAATTGTCCACAAATGGCGTATGTTACGGGATACTTGGCGGCCACAATGCTTCAAAAAGGAATTCACGTTGGTCAGAAATTATATCAGCCACGGGTAAATAGAACGTTCCATTTCTATTACTGCTTTTCCTATATAGAATACTTTTTTTCTTAATTATATATCATGTGTTTATCATCTTATATAACTTTTTGGTCATTTACATTTCACCCACTATAAGAATTAAAAAATAACTATTACGTAATAAATCATTTTAATTTAAAACAATTAATTTCGCCGATTTTTAATTCAATTAAAGAAAAAGTATAAATTTCGCGATAATTGAAAATTAATATTGAAGCATCAATCTTGCGACTTAAATTCTATGAATTAAAAGGCAAGTTATCTTTTCGAACAATAAAGTATTCTCTGATAAATTATATACTTTCCGTTGATAGAGAAGAGTCATATATATACATGTACGAGAACAATTAAATTTCTCAATATGTATTGAGGAAGACATATTGAAATACATATTTTCTAGTTAAAATTCCCCTTAATCTTGTTTATATTTTTATTAATGATAACTTTGCCATTTTGAAGCATTACTTTTATCTGTCTGTTCAGGGTGACACGTTGATTCACGTTGTAGCAGAAAAAGGTGATTCGCATGAAGCTATACTAGCTGAACTTCTTGCTCTCAAAACAATTCGAGGAAATGCCGTTTTTAACGTCTTAGCTCGAAACTATGAAGGTATTAAATCCTTAAGAGGTTTTATTTTTAAAGTTTCATGTAAAAGATGTTATTGTAGAGTTATGAACTATTTTTATTTTTATTTAACAATAAAAATTGGATCTATTAGTTAAATTAAATTAATTACAAACCATTGAATCAATATAACTGACATATTACATGCACATAAAAGATTATATGTGACAGGGAAAGTTAAAAGAAATCTATGGGTCAAAAAAATATAATTTTACTTTTTCAGCGGTTCTTATAGTAGATGATACTCTCTTTTCAATGCAACAAACCGCAGCTTCTAGCTGCATTAGGTTTCTCGCAAATTCACTTCAAAGATGGAAACATTAATAAAAATACGTAAAAGAAATCCACTTGTTAATCTTATTTTCTGACCTTAGGTCCCTTTTAACTTTTCCTGTCACAAATTTTTGGATAATATACAAATATTTCATTATTTTGAAGCATATTAAATATAAAAATAATTAATTAGTACAAATTTTATAAAAATATAAAATAATTCTTTAACCATTTTGGACCTGTCATTTTGATTTTTTAAATGAGATTTCGAATTCTTTATCAGCCACCTAACCGGTCGTTCACAAACCACGTCATGCTATTTTATTCCATTTTTGAATCTCCCCTCCCCCATGTCAAACACTATTACATACTTTAGCGCCATTTTTTAAAGGTCGTCACAAATTGCTTGACCCCCCCCTCCCCTTTTGAAATAATGATTTTTAAAATTAAAATTGTCCGATACAATATGGCAGTACGTAACAAATTTGAGACTCATGAATAATGAGCAAAATTAATTTGCTAGAATTTCCCTTTTAACCGATATTCTGTATTAAACAATTTTTATATTAATCAAAAATTCACTTTACAGAATTTCCATTTGTTCGAATGTTTACTTGATAGAGATTCTGTTAAATGAATTTTCAGTTAATAAAAATTCATCAATATAAAAAATCATTTAAATGAAAATTTTGTCAATTCGATCAAATTAATATTCTTTTAAATAAAAATTCTATGTAATCAAATCCTGATGAATAAAAATTTGTTTAAATGACTATTCTGTAAAATAAAAATTTAAACAAATAGAAATTCTGTAATAATATGTAGAATATCGGTTTAATGGAAATTCTGTCAAAAAATAATACGAACAAATATAAATTCGGCTAAAAGAAAATTCTATCAAATAAAAATTCTTATAAATTAATTTTAGGTAGGGTCAGCCGGGGTAAATCCGAACGGGGGGTAAATCCGAACGCTAATTATTTCAGCTTAATTAAAATTTTTAAAAATAAGTTCGATATGAGAATTTTTACCTCAGATCCTCTTCAAGAGATTCTAAGTATTATCCCATTTTTCGTTTGTTAATTAGCAACAGCATAAACAAAGATAACGAGTATTGCAAAAAAGATTGAAAATCAAAGATGACACTCTTTCAGTATTTTGTCTCGTATTTGAAGAAAAAGAAGCTAAAAATTCATTTTATTATTTATAATTGTTTGTTATGAATACTAGAACAGAAACTATTTTTGATTTTTGTCTTCTGTAAAATTTTATTAATAATATCAGACCGTTCGTATTTACCCAGGAAAATTGGAAAACCGGGGTAAATCCGAACGGTATTTTCAATAATTTTTTTTTACATCAGAGCCACACAAAATTGTTTTTATTTCATTACACTATTATTTTAACATTATAAAAGTACATAGAAAAAAGTTTTTCTTTCTATATGTATCCTCGTTAGTAATTAATAAGCAGAAACTTAATCTCTGTTCTCTCGAAGGAGTGTTTCAATTTTTTTGCCAAATGGTTTGTTGAAAAAAGTTTTCAGGATCTTAATAAAATTTGGTATTCTACGGTTTTTGGGGTCGCTAATTACCAATTTGAAGTCAGTTTTTCAAAATTCAAAATGGCGGACGAGAATTAAAAAATTCATTGGATTCGCTCGAAAATTGTTACTCGGGGATTTTCAGGATTAGCAAATTTGATCATTTTTAAAAATAAGTTTTAGGAAAGTCCGCCATTTTGAATTTAAAGAATTTGACTTTTATTTTTGTATTTACATTCAATCACTCCAAAATACTTTCTGTACCAAGTTTTGGAAAAATCCGTTATGATTTGATAAAGTTATTGAAGGTTTTAATTGTGTAATGCATTTTAATTTTTAACCTGTTTGATTTTTGTATTTATATATGATGCATTATTACATAAAAGGTTTATTATCGTATTTTTTTGAGTTTTTATATAAGTTTAACAATTGCAATACTTTAAATTTATTTTCCCTAAGATTTTTCTGAAATACAGTGGCGTTCGTATTTACCCCGGTATTTTAGGAAAGTTGCAAAGTATCGAGGTAAATACGAACGCTAAGTTTCCTGCGATTGTAATTTATCAAAAATTTTTGCTACCCCATAAAATTGTTCTATGGAAGTAAAGTAACAACTTCATGCACCAGAATACCGGAAGTATTTTTTTTTAAAGAAAAAACTTATGTTATTGTTGAAACTTACTAAAAGCGTTCGGATTTACCCCGGTTGACCCTATTATTTATGCGTCTCTGAATTTATTTTCTAATATTTTTTAAAATTAATATTAATTATTTTATTCTCAATTTGCTTATAAATAATGAAATTGTTGCATTTTATCAAAAAATTTGTAGCTTATGTATTCATATAAACTTTCATTTGTACATAAAATGTCAATGATATTGATACAATTGTTTATAACTATGAAGAGTAAAATGAAAAAAGCTGTTATTTCTCTCATTCAATCTTAGCTATAAAGGAAAAAATAAAAAAATAATTTTTAAATTCATAATAAATTATTAATTTACAAGGTAAAACCGCCCTTCATTTGGCTGTGGAGTCTCATGATCCAGTAAGCAGAGGGGTAAATTCAATCTCAACAGTGCGATTGCTTTTGAAAAATGGAGCAGATCTTTTGATTAAAGAAGCAGTTCGAGGAGACACCGCCTTGCACTCTGCAGTATTTTCAAGTTATGATCCTATTCTTATTAAGGTTGGTTCAGTATATTAAAATAAATTCACTTTCTAATTTCAAAAAAATGTCAACTTATTTCTTCTAATTTCATTGAATTTCTTTATTTTATTTCATCTATATTTTTCTTCTTTTTTACGCTCACATAATACGTAATATTCCCTCAAACTTGCTTGAAAGATTACAAAGCAATATTTTATTGTAATCTTCAATTTTTTGTTTCCTAATATTAAATTAAATGTCATATAAAAAAATATAGTACTGTTGGAAATTGTCGGTATGGCCAACAGAAATATTGTCTAAAAGAAACACATGTTTCTTTAAACCATGATAACACAGTTAATATATGGGGCAAAATTCCTGAACTGCACAGAAAAAAACTGTACTCATTTTTGCTGCTTATCATTTTGAGTAAATTATCAAAATGAGTAAACGGCAAACTTCACGTTACTCAAAATGAAACTGGTTAGTATCAAATGTCAGGTTATGCTAGATAAAATTGTTTACCACTATTATGTTGGTACTAACTGTGATATTCAAAATATTATTAAAGTTTTTATTTTCTATCGAAAAAAAGTTTTATCACATTATTATTAAAGTTGTTCATAATAATAATAATAATAATAATAATAATAATAATAATAATAATAATAATAATAATAATAATAATTATTATTATTCATGTTATAATATTATATTAATAATATTAATAATTATGAGTTAATTTAATTATATAATAATATAAATTTATTTTTATTTTAAATATATTATACATAAGAATTTTTAAATAATAAAAACTCAATTTTATAATATTATAATATTTTTAAATAACCATTTCGTTTATTACAAAAAAAGCAAAGCTTTTCGTCCATTGACGATGGATTTTTTTCAAATAAAAAAAAGAACAACTTCTACTAAAAATTATAGATCCAAAGAAAAACTACATCAATCACATATATTTAATTTATAATTAAGTTTATAATTTATAATTAAGAATTAAAGTTTTTTTAGTTTAAAAGTGTTTATTTATGAAAAACAATTGTTTTAGTACTATTTTAAATTAAATAATCATTTGTTATTTATCTATAATTCAGAGTTAAACATTTACTCAAAATGAAACTGACGTTGTTCATTTTGATATTTTTTCACTGAAAACTCAAAATGAATAAGAGCGTTATCATTTTTGCTGCATATCAAAATGAGTATGATTTCGTACTCATTTTGAGTACAGTTTTTTTTCTGTGTGTTCAGGTCAAAAGTTCGAAGTTATTGAACTGGCTTGTAACTTTAGTAAATTGTTTACCTATATGAGAGTAACAAATCCCTAAAATACTATAGCTCATTTAAAGAAAATTTGTAGAAATTTGTGGTTCTTTTTCGAGAACCATGTTTTTGTATTTAATCGGAATCCGAATTTTTATATCAATAATTATCTCCTTTTTGATTTATCAATCCAAATAAAATTTATTATTCAGTAAAAGTGTTTAAATATTTAGTAATTGTTTTTCAATAAATTTCTTTTAAAAACTGTGAATTTTATGATTTATTTTATTTGAAATATCCGAGTACATGTTGGGAATAATTAATCCCACAAATTGGTTTTTTATATTTTCTTGCAAATTTTTATTTTACTAGCTTTACGTTTACATATTTTTGTTGGAACAAATTTTTCTTAAATGAGTTAATATTTTATGGAGTTAATCTTATCTAGAGCAACAATTTACCAAAGTTACAAAGAATTTTACCACATATAAGTTATGAAGTTTAAAGCTTATTAAATTCTGCGGCGAATGATATATCGATGAAAATTTGTTAGCCCTTCCAAAAATTTATATCATTTGATAGTTTTGGAAAAATAATTTAGAAATTTGTATCTTTTATACAATATATTTGAGTAGTAACTTTTACTGCAATATTTTCTTACAAGCGGACATTTTTTTAATTGTACCAACATTTCAAATAATTTGTATTAAAATATTTAGGAAGTATTATGTGCTGTGAGGGCACTTACGTGTTATGTACGCACGTTTCTTTTTGTTTTAATTGTTTGATTAACATTTTTTATTTTTAATAAATTAGGCGTTGTTGGAAAGAAATAATCATAAAGAGGCCTTAAACACGGGAAACTACAATGAAAATTCATCAATGCTCATGTCGACAATGTGCAATGGAGTAAATTTGGAGAGACAAATAGAAGTCTGTAAACTATTTTTGGAAAATGGTGGGAAAACAACAATTCCCAGTGGACACAGTTCACTGGAATTTTTGCCCCCCGACAGAAAAAATTCTATTAAAACCGTGTACTACTGTCGAAGTAAAATACACTAAAATTTTTAAGATCTCGAAAAAAATAATAATAATTCGTGATTAAGGTTGTGAATGTCTGTTTTTTATGCGCATACAGTATATTTATACTATACTTGGCAAGAATATTTCTATTATTTAAAATATTTTCCCTTTTTTATGATCAAACGATGACCATTAGTATTTGTATATATAAAGTTATTCAATACAAAAAACTTTTTAATTTAAATTCTTTTATTCTGCTCTTGTAAAATAAGTTTATCAATATTGTACAAAACCTCTGCATTTCAAAAAGTAAAGAAATTTTTAATTAATTTTAATTGGTTCTTGTTAATTTTAATTCTAATTAATTAATATTAATAATTGATTATTATTTTATTAATTTATTTACGTATATTATTAATAATTAATAAATCAATTATCATTTAAATAAAAAGTTAATAATAATTAAAACATACCGTCAACCGAGGCTATTATAGTACAAAAATCGTAATTTTTTTTATATGCTTAACTAACATTCTAATATTTATAAAAAATTTTTTTAAACTCTTTAGTCATGTTGTGGATATTCTTCTAAAGATATTCTTCAAATTTTATTAGACAAAAAAATTTGTTATCTGAGTTATGTAAACTCAAAGTTTGTATCATAAAAGCTCCGCGTGTCTGGGACTATTATGGTATAAAATATGTTTTTCTTTTAAAAATAAAGTAAAATTTTTTTCTACAAATAAACGGTACCCAGATAGCACGTAAGCTTGCAGCAACCTTGCGCCCAGCTTGCCGCACAATATTGACAACCTTATACGGCAAGCTTGCGGAAAGGTTGCCGCAAGCTTCAAATGTCCCACCTGACTCAAGCTTGCTTGGTAAGCTTACCGAAAGATTGCAGTGTAAGATTGCACAATAATATTATCGCAAGATTGCTCAGTCAGCTTGCGCAGTAAGGTTTTCGCAAGGTTGGTGCAAGATTGCCAAATAACCTTGCCAATGAGCACAGAAGGTTGCAGCAAACGTGCAGCAAGCTTGCTCGGCAACCTTATGGTAAGCTTGGCGCAAGCTTGTGGAATATAACAAAAAAATTTTTGGGGGGAGGAAATTTATTTTTGTATATACATTGAGCACCAGTTCCTGGGAGGTCAAAAAAATTTACTGCGCATCCAAAGGTTCTCGTGATTGCAAGTGCGCATAGTGCCTATTTTCAATGCAAACTTCTGTGTTGATTGGGCAAGGTTATTGGGAACCTTGCACCAACCTTGCCACAAGCTTACCGTGCAAGCTTGCGATAATCTGATCATGCAATCTTGCAGTAACCTTACACTGCAATCTTTCGGCAAGCTTACCAAGCAAGCTTAGGCTAGTTGGGACTTTTGAAGCTTGCTGCAAGCTTACGTGGTGTCTGGGTAAGGAAACTATTAACTACATATATTCTGTAAATAATTTGTAACCCTAAAAGGAGTATATGAATTTTCTCACCCTCTAAAGAGTAACTGGGGTGTCCAGACACCCCCAACCTGAAACTTGTGTAAAAAGGTTTCTCTTTGACTTAAAACTAATTATATATAGTGATTTTTATTGGTTTTTTAGTAAGGAAAACAATAGTTTTAATGATATTTTGATAAAATAAAAAAAGTTAAAAAAAACTTGCAAAAACGAAAAAAACAAAAAATTTGCTAAATTTTTCTTTTTTAAAAAAATGTTCTAGTTTTTCGAAAATTTAACTATTTTAAAATTATCCATCAGATTTTGAAAGGTGAATAGATACACTTTTAGAAAAAAATTGGTTTTATCATTATTTTAAAAAAATATAATTATTTGAACAACTGAAGTGCAAAAAAGATTGAAGAAAATTGACCAATTGAAAAAACCACAAAAATTAATTATAAAAAAGATTTTATCAATTAATATTTATTAAATGGGTATTATAAATATAAAATTTTACAAATTGAATATGTAGGGTCAGTTGGGGTAAATGGGGACAAGAGGTTTTGGAGCTTAATTTTCAGTTTTAAAATAAGTTCAACGTCAATATTTTAACCTCAAATCACCTGCAAGAGGTTTTGAGTATTACCAAGCTTTTATTTTGACAATTGGCAGCAAGATAATTCAAGTTATCGCTCAATGCATAAAAACTTGAAGATCAAAGTCAAATGTTTTTTTGAAAAAATTTTTTTACAATTGTAAAGTTTAGAAATTTCTCTTTCGAAACCACTTATTGCAAAAGTAATTTGATTTAATTAAATGGGAGAAATAATTATTTAAAAAATGTCTTATATTGTCAATTGTTTACTAGGGGTATAATTTTAAAATAGAATGCCCCATATATCGATCGATTCGTCTTGACGTAAGGAATACAATTATTTCATATATAAACTTCAATTTAAAAAATCACAAAATTTTATATTAATTTATTTATATTTAATTTTTGATTTTTGTTAATTTGGTTAAAGACAAGCTGTCCCCATTTACCCTGAGTTTTCAAATTTTTGGGGTAAATGGGGACAGCTTGTCATTATTAACCAAATTAACAAAAATCAAAAATTCAAGTGAAACTTTTTTCTTAAAACTTTCTTAGAAACTATGCTGTCCCCATTTACCCCGAATTTTATGAAATTTTATAAATTTTGGGGTAAATGGGGACAGTCAGTTTCATGCGTTTAAATCTTATCTAAATTTTTTTCTGCTGCATAAAATAATTCCTGGAAACGTAAATAACAACTTAAAAAAATAAACCAGCAAATATTACCTATTAAAGGAAGAAACTTACGTAATTTGTGAAAAATAGCGATTTTGTCCACATTTATCCCAACTGACCCTATATAATATATGTGAATATATTATTATCAGTAATAATCCTCAATTGAAATTTCATATGAAGTTATAAATAAAAAATGTTAATTTTTTCTAACAATATATATATTTTATTTAAAAATGTATTTTTTATAAAATACAACTTATTCTCATGTATAATCTATAAATTATTAGTCTACTAGATGATTTGAACTGATTAAAAATGATTTCACATAAAATTTAAATTTACTTATTTTGTCAATTTTGTAACGTTAGGGGGTAACTGGGGTGTAAATATACCCCACACGTATTTCAATTCGATACAGAGCTTTTCCTGGAGCAAAAATTTCGCGCGCACTACCGAAGATCAACTGTCAGATGTACAAATTGAATTATCGTTATGGTCCCGTCCCGAAAATATGATTGGTTAAGTCAGGAACATACTTTGAATGTTGCTTGGGGTGTCTAGACACCCCAGTTACTCCTTCTAGGGTTAAAAAAGTGTTAAAACATTTTTATTATTATTATTATTATTATTATTATTATTATTATTATTATTATAGGAATTTCATTACAATTACTGAATTTTTTTTTCATTTTTTCAGGTTATTTGCCTCTATAAATGCTGGATTTTCAGTTTTTAGATAATTTTCTCTTAAAATACTTAATAAAAAGTTAGCTCATCAAGTATGGATATATTTTCATAACAAAATTTTTAACATGTACTTTAATTATTTTTGACACTGATATTCATGAATTTTATGATAGATGTAGATTTTCATAGATCTTCCAAATTCCCAACAAAATTTTTTCTTTTTTATAAATTTTTTTCTTATTTCTAAAACCGAATTTATTAATAATACCACAGTTACTTTGTTGCCAACAAAAAAATAGCTTGTACCATAATAGTCCCGGTTGATGGTAATTAATTTTGTTAATTAAAAAATATTTTTTGCAACACTAACCTGTAAAGTTGAATTTTATACACAAAAAAGTGTGTCTAAAGTATCACTTTTCCTAACAGCGTGTAAAATATTTACTTTATGCACCGCTGTGTCTTTTTAATGAGTAATAGTGATATATTATACTTACATATAATATAGAAATGTATTAACCACAATTTCTTCCATAACTTATAGCAATATTGCACAAATGTTGCTAATATTGTTGCAAACTTAGGTGAAGGGGAAGGTGAGTGTTGCAAAAAATGTTGTATGACACTCGTGCGTAAATTTTATTATACTCGTGTAACTTGCATCACTCGGATAATCACCCACTTTACGCACTTGTATCATAAATAACTATTTTTAATTATTTTATATACATGTAATAACGTATCACATTCAAGTATACAAAATACCTGTACTTTTAGAACTTTTAAAATTTTTTTAATTAATTTAGAATATTTTTAAGAATATTTGATAAATAATAAAACTACTGAATTTTTTTTCAAATTCCTTAAAATTTTCAATGCAGTTTTCTATATTACATTTTCAGAATAAATTCAAAAAATGAAAACATAAGAATTTTGTATTCTAATTTTTAATTATTCTATAAATGTAATTAAATAAAAAATATAAATTAAATATAAATTAAAAAATATATAGATAATAGACATTAGAATATTATAGATTCCATTTAATTTCAAAATTAAATGTTTCTATATATTTTTTTTTCATAACGTAACATAATTTCATTTTTTAATAAAATAATAGGGAAATATCTGAAAAGTGTTTTCCCTCAGAAGGTGTTTAATAGCTTTATAGAAAAAATTGAAAATGTGAGTCAATTACGAAAAAGAAAAAAATATGACTGTTCGTTATTTTTGCATATTTTACATGTTACTGCGTTTTTAAATATTCTATTCTAATTTAAACCATTCATGCACTTTATCCATCAATTTCATGCTTTCATTTTTAAACAGAATTTAATATTAGTTACACTCTTGTGGCAACTCGAATAAAATTCTTCCATGATAATATCATTTTATAAAAATATTGAATCAAGGGAATTCAGGGCCGAAAACTTTTAGTATCACTTAATGATCGGTAAAGTGATTTTGTATTAAATATACAAAAATGAAAGAAATATATTTTACGTAAAAAAACAAAATATAAAAGAAATAAAAGAAGGTGTGTTATAAGAAATAATAATGAAGAAATATAATGTAAAAAATCCACTTATTACAAATTATTACGTAATTTATTTTATATATATTTATTGTTTTGAATAATAATCAAACTTTTTTTATACTTTTCATGTTTTAAAAAAACTGATTAAAGAAATTATTACACACACACACACACACACACACATATATATATATATATATATATAAATGTACATATATATGAGTAAGAATTTCTGAAACGTGCCACCTAAACCTGAAAAAATTTTTTTTTTGTTGAAATGTTATTTTTCTTATAGTATTTTATATGCGCAATCACCCCCTAAAACGATTTTGCAAAAAAAAATTTTTGTTATTAAGGAAGTTCTCCCGCCTCCAACGTCAGTCAAATCAATGCCCATTTAAGTTTTCATTTGTATCACGTAGTACTAGCTCAACGCTTGGCAACGTTGGATTATATTTCCCCCGTTCCGTTTCGTGTCGTCTGCTATTGTTTGATTTATTTTCGTTAAATGCGCTATCATGTCAGAAAATTTAGAAGAGACTGCAAAAAAAGGAGTAAAACGTTATTATTGGAAGGGAAAGATAGTAACCCAAAAAGTTTATGAAAATCGTTGTAGATTGCAAATTGCGGGAAAAAACCTTCGGAGTGTATATGGCACTAAAAATCTTCGAGCTAACCTCACAAATGATTCGTACTGTGAATTATAAACCTGCTGAAGGCAGACGAATAGTTCATTAATTTCATTTTTAATTTTAATTAAATCAATTTCATTTTTAATTTTAGAAAAGTTAAAAATTAAAATAAAAAATAAATTTAAATTAAAATTAATAACTAATTTTTTCTTATTTTACAAAAATTTTAATTCTTTTTTACATTTTCATAAAATGTATATAAAAATTACAAAATTATTAAATTAATTTTGTGCGTATCATTTTTCAAAGTTTTCAATTATAAATTTATTAATTATTTAATATTTATTAATTATTAATAGAATTATTATTTTAAAAATCTTAATTTTTTATAAGCAAATTCAAATTATTATTCATTATTATGAATCTTTGAAGAATATACTATTATATGTATATACTACTTATATTACTTTCAAATTTCGCGCTTTTTCTATACCTAACCTACAAGACGCAACGTTGCCAAGCGTTGTGCTAAATAATTTCTGATTGTCAAACACGGTGTTTTTTTAGACAAAATAATTAATTGTGAGTCTCCTAAGCCATGTCTGATCAATTTTATTAAAAGTAAGTGAACATTGGCTATTAAACTTTATGTATTTAAAGTTCCAGTAATATCTTTTCGTCAGATTTTTCACAATTTGAGATTTCAGACCAAAAAATTCAATTTCCCATAAGAACCCGTGTTAAATGTGAAAAGAGAAAATTATTTATATCTTTTGTCAAAATCCACCTAGACCTCTAAAAATTTAACAACATCTTCTTTAAACCATTATCTATCAGTTTATCAAGTTTGATAATTAACTCTTCGTCATTTCTGTTTGCGAGAGAACTTCCTTAACAATTTAATATTTTTGACCCATTTTTTAAAAAAATTAATTTCAAAGAAATTTATTGATCGATTTTAGTGATCTAGACGGCATTCTTCTTGTCTTAAATCATAGTTTTATTGATATTTTTTTGGTGCAAAAATATTGATTTTTATTGCAAAAAAATTGTTTATTTATAAACAAATAGTAAAAAACCATGAAAACAATCGAATTTCAAAATGAAAAAAATAGCTTTATATACTTAAAACCCTTCTGAATAATATTCCGTCGAGAAAAAAAATGGCACGCATTCAACAATTGGTTTATTTAAACATTTATACTACATGGCGCATGTAGTAGTGATTGTGCATATAAAATACTATAAGAAAAATAACATTTCAACAAAAAATAAATTTTTTCAGGTTTAGGTGGCACTTTTCAGAAATTCTTACTCATATATATATATATATATATATATATATATATATATATATATATATATATATATATATATATATATATATATATATATAAAATTAATATTATTACATTAATAAGCTAAAGTTAGTAAATTATTTAATTTTTCTTCTATATTAAAAGAATCTATGACTTAAAATTGTTGATACATCCCTGAATTTTTAGATACTAATAGCTTTTGCCTGTAGTTGTAATCACGGCCATCATCAGTGATCAATTTTCATTTAACAAGATACAATGTAAAGAATATAATAAAAATATGGTAAACTCATCACAATGTACATAAAAAATAAAATGTATTTTTACAAAAACTTTAAGTTTATTAAAAAAAATATTAATAATTATTAAATAGTACCTCTGGACATAAAAAATCCAATTTCAAATTTTCCAATGCATATTTTTGTACAGAATAAAAAAAATTCATCTTTCTTTCCTTAAAGAAAAGGCTGTATTTTTATACTTTTTTTAAATAAATGAAAAGAAACCGTTCTTTTTAAACGAATTTTTAATTAAAATTTTATATTTAAGTCGCTACTAAAAGCAGAATTTTGAATATTTTTGCATGAAACTTGATATGAACATAATTTTCTTTTTGCTTCCTCACAGGAAGCTTTATGTTGATGACAATTTTCGAACTTCTTAAAATTAATCATTTTAGCAAATTTTTAACTAATATAGATATACAGGGTGTTCAAAAAGTATGGAAACTTGCAAGTAACTCGAAATGTACGCATTTTTTTGGGGTTCAAAAATGTAGACCTTTTCATTGGGAACAACTTTTGTGTTGAATATTTTTCACGAAAATGCGTACTTTTCGAGATATTTTCAAGTTTCCATACTTTTTGAACACCCTGTATTTCAACATAAAGAACAAATATCCGCATGTATGTGTATGTCACCGCTCCTTGTTATCAAAATATCTTAAATACATTTTGATGGATCAAGTTAAATTTTTTTAGCCTTATTGCCTTCATCAATATCTAAAATCAGACACAAAGATTTTCAAAAATATCCACGCAAGTTTTTTAGGACATTTTTTCAAAAATTCTAAAAAATGTTTTTCAACAAAAAGATTTATTATACTAAAAATTTAACTTTCTTTATGAGAAAAGCGTATTTTTGCATTAAAATAAATTTTTTGACCTATAATAAGTCCATATTTTACCCAAACCCTTTTTAAAATTAATTTTTTTTAAATTTTTTTGAAAAAATCAATTTTGTATTTTTTTCTTATTACAGATTTTAATCAATCTTTTCTCAAAAATACATTCTAAGCATCAAAATGAATGAATTGATCCAAATATTGTACAAATTTTATTGAAATTTATAAAATTAATCGATATTTTTAAGTAAAGCAAAATTCAAATTTTATATTTTTTTCAGACTTTTGTTTAAAATTTTTTTAGGTACATGATAAACAATAAAATAGAGCTAAGAGCAGCTAAATAAATATTTATTTTTTTAAATTAAATTTATTTTATTATAATGTAAAAATTAATATATTTGGTAATAAAGAAATGAAAATTTAAAAAATAACTACTTACCGGTATTTTTCCTCAACATCTTCTTCTTGATAAACTTTACAACTTTTTGCCTGTAGAATCTGATGGGTCTGCAGATCCAAAGCATCTTTTAAATAAGCGATTTCTTGTAACATCAGCAAATTGTTTTTCTCCAAGTGAGAAATTGTTTCTTGATGTATGGACACCTGTTTTTCATGCTCGGCTTGCAAATTTTGTAAAGCCTTATCCCTCGGTAAATAAGTTCCTAAAAAGAAAATTCAAATTTAATTCCTTTATTCTGAATCAGAAAACTGCAAACTTTAATTTATTTAGTAAGAGCTCAAATATACTTGATTAAAATTGCAATTATAATGTATGAAATTAAATTTAACTAAAAAATTTAATTTACTCATCACTATAAATTTATGTAGGATTAGAAATGTAATTAAAAATTTGTAAATTATGTAATTCAGTTTAAATTTAATCTTTCTGTGAAAATTTTGCGCTATGTAAATTTAAATATAAAATAAATGCAATCGAATAAAAAACTAATTTTTTGAAAAATTCACCAATAGATTTTTGTAGTTGTTCTTTAAGTTTATGTCCGGTTTGCTGAATTCGTCTTAATTCATGCGTATGTTGACTATCCTTCGATTGCAACTGTTTTTTCAATTTAAGAACCTAATGGAAAAAAAATAATTTAAATCAGAATATAAATCTTTAGAAAGTACAAAAAGAGAGCGTTAACGTACACACCAATTTAAAAGTATCAAATTGATACCCTCTCTAAATGTGAATTAGTGAAAAGTGAGCTATTAATTCAAGTTAGTAAGAAATTTCACTAATTTTAAGTCACTTTTTACTAAAACTTTAGTCAAAAAATGGGAAACTACTAAATCAAATAGTAATATTTTACTAGAAATTAGTAAAAATTCTTACTAATGTGAATTAGCAGCTCACTTTTCACTAATTTAAATTTAGAAAGCCAAAAATATCAAATTGATATAAAAATTTGTATCAATTTGATATTTTCAGTATCAATTTAATACTTTTAAATTAGTGTGTACTTTTATGCACAAGTTGACCCCACAGCAATAAAAACTAAAAAAGCAAATATATAAAATATGTAAATGATTCTTGATTATAAAAGCATTTCATCCAATTCTCTGACCTCTTCCCCCTTGACCGTGTGAAGTATTATGTGCACTTTCGCAATGAATAAAAAACAATAAATAAACAAACCTCATCTCGTTCACGTTTAAGATCACGAGTAAGATTTTCGCATTTAACTTTCAGTCTTCTTTCTCGTTCTTGTACTTCACTCATAGAATGTTCTTTCTTTTCTAAGTTCTCTTTTAAACGTTTAATCTGATTCTGCAAAAAAACAAAAATTTAATTGACATATATTAAAAACAGGTTTATAATTATTTTTTTCATGATTGGAATTGTTTTATAAATTATTTACCACTAAAGTTCCTGGCAGCATAGTAACAATCGTGAGTTATAATTTCCTCTTTTTAAATTATTATTATTATTATTATTATTATTATTATTATTATTATTATTATTATTATTACTGAAATTACATACCCCTAAGTTATTATTGTCAACTGACAATTTGTGATAAACATCATTTTGTTTTTCATGAACTCGTTCTATCATTCTATGTCTTTGGACAAGATTCCAAGAGGCGTTAATTAATTGAACAAGTATCGATGTTAAAGATTCTAAGGAATTAAATTCTTCGTAATTTACAGATACAGGCGATGAGACAAGGACATCCAATTCCTATATGAAATATACTTTTTCGTTATTATTGCGACATTAATATTTCAACTTTTTTTATGAAACTTTATGAAACTAGTAGCAAAAAAATATGTACAAAGTATAAAGTAAAAATATTTTTAAATGAGAATTTTAGATCAATTCATAAAAGTATTAAATAAATAAATTTTTAGAATTAAAAAAAAATTAAGAATAAGAAAGCCAAACATTTTAGAAAAAGAAAAGAAAATAAAAAAATAAGACAGTTGTAGAAAAAAAGAAATTGAAAGAAAAATTGATAATTTTAAGTATTCCAAAAAAGCGAGAATTTGAAGGAAAAATTGAAAGTTTTGACTTGTTTGTAAAATTTCAAATTAAAAAACACGATGTGAAGGGCTAGAAAAATCGTAGTAAAAACAAATATTTAAAAAAAATTCTAATTCGTAGTTTAGTAAATTTCATTTTTCATGCTTGTTTTGCTTTTAAAAATTAATAAATACCTCTGATAAAGTAGCTAAAGATTCTGAAATAGTATCTAAAGTACAAAATGCATTTTCATCATTTACAAAAATTCTTTGTGCGGCGAATATGTTTCTTAAATTTCGAAAATGGTTATCAATTGTAGAATTCCCAGCCATTTCTGGAATAAAACATCAGTTTTTGCATATCATATATATATATATATATATTTTTTTAAATATAGTATAAAAATAAATTTTTTCACATATTTCATTTATTTATTGACAAATAAAAACATTTATGAAGAAAATTAAATTTATTATAAATTTTTAATTAACATATTTCATTTTATGTCGTTTTAAAATTGTTATATACTGTAATTGATTTGAATTATATATATTTCACCCCGCTCCAATTCATCTTTCCCTCTCATTTGTACATAATTTTAGTTCATCTTTAAAATCTATGTATATAAAAAACTTAAGACGACATTTATTTTTGCATTTACATATTCTTTGTATATTATTTCTTCTATAATAAAAAATACCATAAAACTAACAGTAATCTTAAACACTTTTACAATTTGTAATAATTCAATGATAAAACAATGAAAACGTAATTAACAACAATAATAAGTTTTGAAATATAAATATATTACCTTACTGTTTTGTACGCAAGTATTAAATTTAGTATATTTATTTTAAAATGATGTTCCTTTTAATATTTATTTATTAACAGGACACACACAATTCCACTGTTTAATAATTTAATATCAATGTATTAAATACTTTTGTTTTTAATAAATAAAAATAATTTTCTGTATAGTGAAACAAATTTAACAAACTATACCATTATTCGTGATAATCGAACGAAAATAGAAACATGCTTGTCTGCTATTCTGTTGCTTCAACAGGAATCTCGCATGGATATTCATTCGGGTCATCGGGAAGAAGAGAGTTCAATGTTTCACTGTCAGATGTCACCAACATGCCAAAATTTGAGACCCATGATTGCTCCAAAATTATAGTTTGTTATAAATTTCTCATTTTTATCGAATTTTATAAAAATGTGTACGAATATCAATCTTGAGAATTTCATTTTAACATAATTTTATCATAAATATAAAATTAGTATAATTTTTATTTTCCGAAATCGAAAGTAATATAATTTCAGTCAAACCCTTTAATGCGCCTGACTTTTTTAAAAGCATAATGAAAATTTAATCAACCACTGCAGTAAGGGTTTTCGGGGTCGCTGATTACGAATCCAATATAAGTATTTCAAAGTTTTCCAAACACAAATGGCGGACAATTAAAACAAAAATTATCGCATTATTTGTATATGAAACTCGTTACTCGAGGGTTCAATTAATTAATAAATAATTAATATTCGCAAACTTTTAATAAATATTTGTAAGTTAGTTTGTCTATTATCTTATTATTAAAAAAAATGTTTATTTATTATTTATGAAAATTGTGCAACGTCACAATACATTACTTGTTATTAAGTTTTTATAAATAAACAATTGAATTTTTTACTAAAATGCAATATTTTTATCTGGAAAAATGTCACTTATACTTCATATCAGGACAAATAAAATGGAACTTGAACGTTTAAAATTGATCAATAAGTTTTTGAAAAATTAATTTTTGAAACACTATTTAAAAAACCATATTTTAACGAAAATGAAAATAAAGAGGTTTTGGGTGGCTCTTTTCAGAAATATTGACTCTAAGGTTAAAAATACTTTAAAGCAATTCTTTACGAATCGCATCAGTTTGATATTCAACATTTTATACATACATGACAACTAACTGCATTTTATTTAATCTTTTATAATCTCTAGTTTATACTCTATACTTAATAATTTTTCATGTGATTTTGTCGCTAGATTTAATAACGTTATTATTTGGAGATATTGCTATTCAAGCTGAGCTTTTACGAAGCAGCGAGCTGTAAAGTTGTTCTTTTATGTGTGATTCATTTTGTAGTAAAAATAAACTAAAGTGAAAATTAAGTCTCCTATTCAAATGATAATCAAACTCCACTTTATTTATATATACATTAAATTATAATGATAATACTCATATGAGCAAATTAAAATATCAAATTATGCAATTCAGTGAAGCAGTAGAACGTTAACTTTATTGAAATATAATATAAAATATCAATTGTCCGTTTTACCGTTTAAGTATCATAAAATAAGGCTTTAAAATTAAATTGTATTTCTAATAAAACTAAATTTTAAGTTTTGATGATATCAAATTATAAGTTATTTATTTATTTTTTTTGAATTATGCTTACAATTGCAAACAAATTTTTCCACTTATATTTTTCTCTTGCATATTACTAATATTTTTATTTATAGCAAATAAAAATTATTTCAGTAAATTAAAAAAAAAAATTAAATGTACAATATGTCAAGATTTAGAGATGCTAAAAAGGATTAAGTGACGTTATTGGCTGACGTTCACGGAACATAGATTCACGTTCCGATTGGCACATTCAAGGAGTTTTCTGCAATCGAGTTCAAAGTACTTTTGCAGTGTGCGGAGATCTTTTCAACAGCTTCGTATATCCTTCGTTTTTCTTTTTTTTCTTCTTTTCGCTTTTCTATTTTTCGTTTCCAATTCGAATTCAACAGCAGTCTCTCTATTCGTCTGTAGTGTGTGTGTGTGTGTGTGTGTGTGTGTGTGTGTGTGTGTGTGTGTGTGTGTGTGTGTGTGTGTGTGTGTGTGTGTGTGTGTGTGTGTGTGTGTGTGTGTGTGTGTGTGAAGACTTCTAAAGTCAAAGGAATCGAAAATTCATTGAAAATCGATTAAATGCAAATCTGATGCGAACAGAACATAGAGATATTGGATATATATAGATATCGTTAAGATTGCGTTTTGAAATTGGAACTCTGGTCCGTATATCCTGAATCAATCCAAGTGCAAAACTTGATGCTATGCACATCCAGCATCCCGACGACCTCACGATAAACATGCATCTATAAACTCCCAAAGATTATATCCATAAAGTGAGCCTTATACTATCTGTGCCTTATACTATATTCGAGTATTCTGAAAAGCTTATTTGGTAATTAAGAGGATCAGTCAAGATGGAGAATAACTCTTAAGGTATTTACTTGGTAACGAGTATTTACGCACCCAGAATTTAAAGAAATTTGTGCATTAAAATAAATATTTATTTCTTTGATTAAAATAAAAAATTTCGTAAAATCAAAGAAATTTTTCTTTAACCCTATAACAATGCACAAATTTCTTTGATTCAAAGAAACATTCTTTGAAACAAAGAATCTTTTTGCTTCTTCGTGGAGGAAGCTTTGTAGTCCTTTCATTTATAAAACTTTTCAAAGTGGTGGAAACAAATTTTTTTCTTTATAGAAACATATTATATGAGATCCTGATCAATTGTCTGGATGTATTTATGTGTGTGTGTGTGTGGATCCCTTTTTTGTTTAGAAGATAACTTTAACAGGTTTTAATAGATTTAGATAAAATTTGGTAGGCTCATTTATCATATTAATATCTCAAATCTGACCAAAGGATTTTGAAAAATACCCAAAAAAAAATTTTATCGTCTTTTTTCAAAATTTTTTTTTTAATCGAAAAAAATTTTAAATAGAAAAATTTAAGGTTATATATAATAAAATCTTATTTCTTACGTTAAGACGAATCGATCGATATATATAAAGTATATATTTGAGGTAAATTTAAAGAATTAATGAAAGTTAAAAAATCAAAAATTCACATTTTGGCTATAAAATTTTGTGATTTTTTAAATTGAAGTTTATATATGAAATAATTGTATTCCTTACGTCAAGACCAATCGATCGATATATATATAAAGTATACATTTGAGGTAAATTTAAAGAATTAATGAAAGTTAAAAAATCAAAAATTCACATTTTGGCAATAAAATTTTGCTTTCTCCACGAGGAAGCAAATTTTTTTGCTGATCGTAAAGAGGAAGCAAAATGTTCATGAAATGAACATCTGAATTTACAACTTGTTTCTGGGTGTATTTTTAAAAATATTTGTAAACTACGTATTATTATTATTATTATACAATTTCCATTTAACAAAATTTATATCTAGAAAAATTTTCATAAAAAAGAATTTTTATTTATCAGAATTGTTCTTTTGTTGAATTTATATTTTATTCTTTTTTATGAAAATTTTTCAAGATATAAATTTTGTTAGATGGAAATTGTATTATTTGAAAATTCGATATATTAGAAAATTTGCTTTATCAAAGTTTAGTTGAATAGAAATTCTACAAAATCGGAATTTTGTTATAATAAAAGAAGAATTGCGTTTTTAAAAGGCCATATAAATGGAACATGTTACTAATTTGTTGACGGCTCGTGCTCTTAGTTTATCTATACGCGTGAGCACTTCCGTTTTAAAGAAGTTGAGAATAATAAGCCACTTAAATACTATTTTCTAAAGTCTTTCAATTATGAAATGAATCCTATCTCCTTATGTTTTTTAAATGCATTCTATAGTGCGACGTGTGCCGTCACTTTTAAACATATATATATATATATATATATATATATATATATATATAGTTTTATTATAAGTCAATGGAAATAGACAAAAAACTACCGGATTCCCTCGAGGGAGATTAAAAACCTTCGACCGATAAAACCTCTTGAAACTGATGGGCACAGATGCATTCGACGTGCCTTTAAAAGACTGACGATGTTTAGAAAACGTGCCGAAATAAAATTTAGAAAACAACTTGGACTAAATGCTTCTGAAATTTAATAGATGGACCCCTTGTTTTAATATTCTAGTACATGTTTTTTAGTGTTTAGATGAATTTCTGTTAAAGTTTGTCGCATTTTAGCTTCCTGTGACTAGATCATTCGTCAATTTATTTTCTATTAGATTCTTGCACTTATTTTAGAGCTATTCTTTAGGGGAAGTTTCATTATTACAGGAAAAGTGTACAGTGGACTATATGAGTAAATTCCCCCTCGATATTACTTTATTCCAATGAAACAATGAATTTGTAATTATTGCAGACGTTTCGATCACAATGTGGACCTTTATCAGTGAATATATTTAATGCAATCATATATATTTTTCTAAATTGTAAAATATTGTAAAAAATTTTAAACATAGAAAATAATTGTATTAGTTTTAATATTTAGGGGTTATTAGTTATTAGCTATTGATCTTAGTTTGTTATTATAATAAAAATATTTTTTTGTATTAAAAATGTATAAAATTTAAATAAAATAATCGCAATATTGGGGAAACAAAACAGTCACTCGAATTTCTTATGTTTATTGGATATATGAGGAAAATACAAGTTACTTCCTCTCTGCAGATTTTGATGTTATCTTGTAAAAAATTGAGATGGTCAGAAACCAATTGACTATTTTCTCACGTCGATATCCGGTTTCAAAGATTCTCACCCTCTTTCTTTTTTTCTTACTTACACGTACATAAAACACTGCTAGAACTGCTGCGCTGGTCTGTCTATAATACCAGTTCTGGGCGGGTCACAACAGCAGCATTTTCCAGATGTTCAAATATCTAAACGAATAGGGATGGGTGTCCAGTGGTAGAATTTTGTCAGTATTTATCCCTCTATATAAACATGTTTCACACCTTAATGTGTATATAAGGTTTTGAAATATCACAGAAACACTGATAATATGTGAGACATTAATTTTCTCTAATTACAATTTAACAATGTGGAGAAATGGAGATGGAGTTAATAAGGTAATTGCACAAGGAATAGCTCTTTACTTTTAGCTGTCAATTTTTAACAAAAAATGTACATTAAAATATTTATAATAGAAATTATAATATATAAATAAAAAAGTCAAACAAAAAATCTGAGGATAACATATGACAAGTAATCAAGATTTGCCTAGAAACACTCCAGCAA